GGGGGGGGGGGGTTAAACTGTCTCACTGTGACTGACACATATCAACACTTTATTGCACAGAGCTACAGAGAGATAATGGTCACGCGTGTCCGGAGGGAAGCAGATCCTTCCTGCGCCGTCAGGACCTCGGACAGCTCCTCCCTCAGACGTGCAGGTCTGCAGGTCTGGTGGTCCAGGTCCGGGTCTCTGAGAGTCCGGCTCAGTGCAGGGACTCGTTCAGACTCTGTTCACTGGGTGAACTCCGGCTCATGTTGGACAAACTCGCCATGAGGGATTTCACTTTGTGCGCGTAATAGTTCCTCAGGTTGACGGAGGGGACCTCCTTGATGCCCTCGTCGAAGTCGCAGCTCCTCATGGCGATCTCCAGCTGTTTCTGTCTTTTGTAGAAGAGGGAAAACTTGTTGAAAATGAGCGTGATGGGAAGCACAACCACGAGGATCCCGGCCAGGATGCACGCCGAGGCGGTCAGTTTGCCCGCTATGGAGACGGGCACCACGTCCCCGTAGCCCACCGTGGTCATGCTGACGGTGGCCCACCACCAGCAGGCCGGGATGGTGGACAGGTCCTCCGTGTCCTCTTTCTCCACCGTGTAAGCGATGACGGAGAAGAAGGAGACCCCCACGGCCAGGTAGAGAAGCAGCAGGCCCACCTCTTTGTAGCTGTTTCTGAGTGTGGCCCCCAGGGAGCGCAGGCCCGTGGAGTGGCGGGCCAGTTTCAGGATGCGGAAAACCCTCATGAGCCGCAGAACCTGCGCGACCCGGCCCAGGTTGGCCAGCGCCGGGCTGCTTTCCACCACCAGGTTGATGAGGAGCGTCAGGTAGAACGGAAGGATGGACACCAGGTCGATGACGTTCAGAGGGTGGTCAAAGAAGTGCAGCAGGTCCGGGGCCACAGCGAACCGGGCCACCAACTCCAGAGTGAACCACGCGATCCCAAAGTGCTCCACGGTCTCGAAGCGCGGGTCCTCCGTGGGCTGCCCCTCCCCGTCCAGCAGGCTGAACTCACTCATGCTGTTCATGCACATGGTGGCGATGGAGCCCAGCACCACCAGGATGGAGAGGACGCTGATGATGCGGCTGGCCACCGAGTACCCGGGGTTGTCCAGCATCAGCCACACGCGCCTCCGCGCGCTCCCGAGCAGCTGCTTGTCGAACTTGGTGGCGTCGTTGTAAAACTCCAGCAGCTCGTCAAAGGAGGACGTGGTGCTGCCCTCGTCGCTCCGGTCGTCCCAGTCCTCCCGGTCCTGGTCCATTTTCCTGCAGTGGTAGGCGCTGCTGCAGCAGGAGTCGATGAAGAACTCGTTGATGCCCCAGTACTCGATCTCCTGGCTGAAGGAGAAGATGCACAGCTCCGCCATCACGTGCAGCCGCCCCGTGTTGTAGAAATTCAGCACGTAGGGGAACAGAGCCGGGTTCCTGTCGAAGTAGAACTCCTTCTCCGCGTCGTCGTAGTCGTCGCACAGCTCCAGGATGGACTCCGTGGAGCGGCACTGGAGGAGGCGCGCGAGCCTCGTCTCGGGGAAGCGGGAGAGGGTGTCGGACTGCAGCCGCTTCTTGAAGCCGCCCACGTTGATGCAGATGGCCGCGCGGTCCTCCGCGTGAGCCTCGGTGCCCGGATCCACCGGGACGTGACCTGTCATGTCTGGAAACACACACGCGCACACACGCACAGACATGGATGGAAGGAAACGGTGGTGGTGGTGGGGGGGGGGGGGGATAAGTTACTGAACAATAAAAGCAGATTTATTCTGAAGCATTGTGCTCCACGTGTGTTTTTTTCCCACAGAATTACACGCAAAACTGACCTGTGGGTCGTTCAGTTGGCCTGATTGTCCTCCAGGATCTGATGGCACATCCCGTCTGAGGTCACAGCCGGAGACCTTTGTCCTCTGCTCTGTCTCCTCTGGCACCATGAACAGAGGAGGACTCCCTGAACGAGCCGGCGCGTGTTAAAACAGATCTCCTCTCATGACAGAGATCCGCTCCTTTAGCAGCTGTAAATCCACCCGTGGGGAGGCTGGCAGCTGCTCTGTCCTCACATCCTGCATGGCTTCACGCCGCCTCCAGCCACGGGGAAGAGCTGCGTTTGTTTCTGTAAATCCCGGGAGCCATGAGGAGACGAGTGAGCGGCGGGGATTCCTCTGTGCGTCCTCTCCCTGCTCCTCTGTATCTTCTTTCTATCTGTTGCTGCGCAGCAACACGTAGCTCCCTGTCCTCCTCTGCCTGCACCGCCCTCCCGCAGCATCACGGCGTGAGGGGCGAGGCGCGGCTCCGCGTGCGCAGGGAACCACCAACTCACCAAACACCTCCGAGACAAAGTCATCCAAAGGACAGCGCGTAAACAAAGAGATCACTGAAAACTTCCTGTCGCCGGATTTGACTTTCACAAAAACAATGCTGTAATAATATTTCTGAAGAAATGGCGCAGGTGCTGCTGCCATAAAATACAACATAACTTTATCAGCTGAGGAAACCTGCAAACATGATGTATGAGAAATAAGTTTAACAATAAAATACTAAGATTAAAAGAAAGGTTAAAGCTGGTACCATTAAGAAAAGAGACTAAAACTTACGCCTGACTCTGAAAACCACAAGTCAGGTCTGAACATCTTCTTTTTTACTCTGGCTAATAATGGTCATGTATAAACTGTCATTTTAGGATTATAAAAAATTGTCTCGTGTTCAGAGTTTCAGAAACAGACTCACTGGAGTCAGTGTACAAATAAGCTTTATTCAGTTTGCAATCCGTAAAGTTTATGAAAGAGGTTCTTACTGGTTGTGTTTGTTCAAGGTATGTGAGAAACAGGTTAAGATTCCAGGTCCAGTGCTTAAGGGGTGAATTCCAAGTAAGGGGTTCATGTGCAGGTCAGCGAGGAGGAGAGCAGGAGGCAGAAGACAACCTTTATCTGATTCTTGATGGGCTTGGAGACTGGTTCTCATGGGAGAATGACTCAGGACATGACAAGTTTCCAGTCTGGTTAGATACAAGGATTCTGTGAGGGCAGGTAAGTACAAGGTTTAATCTCTAGAAATTATTCACCTAAAGAAAACTCAGAGAGTTGTCAGCTGATTTTCACCGTGTGGCGATTAATGGTCCAACTTGGCCTTAAAGTGTCTGTGACATCAAATTTTGAATGCATTTTGGAAAGATAATGTAAAAAAACCTCATGCCACTGAGATAATTTTTTTAAATTATTATTATTGAGCTCTATTGATCCATTATCTTTTACCCACTTCTTTCTTTTTGGGTTGCAGGGGGCACTGGTGCCCGTCCAGCAGTTACTGTGTAAGAGGCAGGGGAACACCCTGGACAGGTCTCCAGTCCATCACAGAGACACCCTGGACAGGTCTCCAGTCCATCACAGAGACACCCTGGACAGGTCTCCAGTCCATCACAAGGACACATAGAGACAAATGAGACAAACAACTATTCACTCTCTCTCTCTCACCTAGAGACAATTTAGAGTTACCAATCAGTCTAACATGCATGTTTTTGGTCTGTGGGAGGAAACTGGAGTACACAGAGAGAACATGCAAACTCCACCCAGAGAGACTCCCGGGCCGGGATTTGAACCAGCAACCTGCCTACTGAGAGGCAGCAGCTCTATCAGTTGTGCTGCTCCTCTTTTAATCCCCAATGGGGAAATTAATTCTATGCATTTTTCTCATCGCACATGTGAAGCAGTGAGCTGCCATCCAAGGTGCCTGGGGAGCAGCTGTGTGTGTGTGTGTGTGTGTGTGTGTGTGTGTGTGGGGGGGGGGGGGGGGGTGTTAAGGGCCTTGCTCATGGGTCCAGAGTGGGAAAAATGAGGGTGGAGGCAGGTGTGAGTGTTTCACCTTTTCCACCCACATTTTAATACTGTTGGTCCAGGGAGTTGAACTGGGGGTTGGCCGGCGACCCTCCGATCACAGGCCCACCCTCTCTAACCTCTGCACCACCATTCCCCCCATTTGTTGAGATAGTTGCATGTGCAGAAACAGGAAGTGATGATAAAGGGGAACGCCTTCAGGTAAACAAAGCATTGCTACAATCACTAACAGCACAGTGGCAAAGAGTCTGATGATTCCTTAGATCATTTTGGTCACTGTCAGAGAGATGAAGAGTCAGAATTTAAATAATCTTGTTTCAGTAAACAAACACCAGGCAGGGAGTTCCTCTTTTAAAGAGTTACATTTTTATTTCACTTCCTGTTTCATTTTGGCAGTGCTATTTCAAAAAGAAATAAGCCATTTATGTGACAAAATGGGTAATCTCACGTGTGTTATACAAACTTTCTTAAAAAATAGGATGCTTTCTTCCACATTTTGTATTTTTAGAACGTGCATGTCACAGGCACTTTAAGTGGTGTGGATGTTAATCATCTGTAGCTGAGAGCCAACCAGCACCGCCCACTCACAGGCCATGAACTTTCAGTTTAGACAAGAATGTTTTGAGCTAAATATCACTGAATTTGTTGAAGTTTGTCTGTGCACTCTTTGTATTCTTGGGGAAAAAACTGTCCTACAGCAGTGAGAGTCACACTGGGTCAAAGACAAAAATACTTGTTTTGATACATAGTTTGCATATGTACCTAAATCAGTTGTGGGAGTAAGAACAGGTTTTTTTGTAAAAGCTATACAAATTTTAGACATTTCAAAGGTCAAAGTGTGACATCAACTACCAGTTAAATGTTTCGTGGGGACAAACATCTGTAAAAATGATTAAACTTGCATTTAAATTGTGGAAAACCCTAAAAGGTATCTAAGCTCTGGTTCAATCCTTCTTCATTGACCCGTTTGAACTTTCACTGAGGTTTCTGTTGAGAAGTATGCCTGACCTGCAGAGCTCCAAAATCACCAGCGTTTTCTCATCTGTTTTACTAACATCCCATTCATCTATGATTTTAATTTTATAATAATTTTATATAATATCAATGTGTTATGTATTGTTATTATTGTATGTTCCCACACAATGGTGAAATTGTCTCTCTCCATCCACCACCAGGCAGTGTGATGGGCGGCTATTGGGGGCGCCTGGGGAGCAGTTGTGGGTAGAGTGACATCACGAGATGTGCGATAACTGGGGACCTAACTGGGAGTTTTGGGTCCCGAGTCGGCTGCCCTGCCTCTACACCATCTCGGCCTCCTACATATGATTTAAATAAAGCTACATTACAAAAAAATAAAAAGTGTTTTCTCTCAGCTGAAATAGGTTTTAACAAAAAGTCAGAAAGTGATTCTAACCAGCTTCAGTGAGTATATTTCTGTTCTTTGTTTTAAAAGGATTGAAACTGAATGGACAAATGCCATTAAATACAGACAGGTCTCATCTACATACATTAATAACATGTGGCTCTAATGTGCACATAAATGTCAACTTGTTGACACGATGCCTTTAGCTGCTACAACACTTGTACTTCTGTCAGGATTTGTGTTTTTGAATATGTTTGGCTGTCTTTTAATACAGTTTACATGTTTTCTGTGTTCCTTTGTGTTTCCCTGTGCCACCAGTTCATCCAGAACTTTTCCTTCATTTCTGTTCCTCTGTCCTGCCACACTTACTTTTTTTAATTCAACCTTTATTTATACAGGTTCGTCCCACTGAGTCATGAGGATTCATTTTCAAGAGAGACCTGTTTTAGACCTGTTTCAGATAGACAAGATAGAGTACAGACAACAATATACTATAATAAAAGTAATTAAAATAAACATTGAAAAAAACACTGTAAAATCACTGTTAGTGTTAGCAGCATGGTCCTGTTAGCAGCGTAGTCCTGTTAGTAGCCACCCGCTTCGGATGTCATCAGCCATTAAATGGCCGTTATTAGTTGTTATCATCCCCATATGTAGCGGTCACACCGCCCCTCCTGTACCTCCTAGTGGGTTTAAAGGTATGTTGTTAGCGTTGTTAGATGATAATAGGCTCTGTTTTTAGCTTTGTTACTGCTCATAATAGCTTCACGTGGTTAGGTTTAGAGTAAAGGGTCTGGCAGTTAGATTTACGGTCTTGGTTAGGTTTAGGCACAAGGATAAGGGGGTTAAGTTTAGGGTTGGTCCTCAGGGTCATGTAAGCTTACGTTTAAGAAAAGGGTTACATAAGCTGGAAAAAAACAAAAAGGACACTTTCTGGTTTACCCCTGTGTGACACTGCCTATTATCAGCAATAATAACGATAATAACGTACCTTTAAACCTACTAGGATGTAGGTAAAGTTTGACCGCTACATATGGGGATGATAACTAATAACGGCCATTTAATGGGCTGATAACATCCGAAGCCGCTCTAGTAGCGTGGTCCTGTTAGCAGTGTGGTCCTGTTAGCAGCGTGGTCCTGTTAGCAATGTGGTCCTGTGAGCAGAGTGGTCCTGTTAGCAGCATGGTCATGTGAGCAGAGTGGTCCTGTTAGCAGCATGGTCCTCTTAGCAGCATAGTCCTCTTAGCAGTATGGTCCTGTTTGCAGTATGGTCCTGTTAGTAGTGTAGTCATGTTAGTAGTGTGGTCCTGTTAGTAGTGTAGTCCTGTTAGTAGCGTGGTCCAGTTAGCAGCATGGCCCTGTTAACAGTATGGTCCAGTTAGCAGCATGGTCCAGTTAGCAGCATGGCCCTGTTAGAAGCATGGTCCAGTTAGCAGCATGGTCCAGTTAGCAGCATGGTTCATTTAGCAGCATGGTCCTGTTAGCAGCATGGTCCTGTTAGCAGCATGGTCCTGTTTGCAGCATGGTCCAGTTAGCAGCATGGTCCTGTTAGCAGCATGGTT